AAAGCCGTGTCGAGGGATTTGAGTGTTCTGTTAATGAGATCTGTGTATGGCTAACTCCCTTCAATCTATGCCGGGTACGCATTCTTTGCCAACAGTGACTGAAGCTTTCTGATAGGCAAACAGACAAGAGAAAAGGAGTCACCTCCCGTTAATCCCTCCAAAATCCACTCCATGCATCTGACGAAGGGATGCATCGATCTTCTGGCTCAGTGACCACAGAACAACGCGCATGTCAGCCACGGCCCGGGTTCTGTGGTCATTGAGCCAGAATTCTACTTTAGTAACCTTGGAAGTTGTGGGTGGTACTTCTCCGATATCCTAACCTGAGATCCTGTTAATCAAACAGGCTTGAGGTTGAACTCAGGATCTTCCTCATGTAAAGAATGTGGTCCACATATTATGAAGCTTTCATCCCTTGCTACAGAAGAGTAGCCTGTTATTACTGGTCTGATCTGATACATTTTACATTTGTGATGGTCACCCTGAGGAAAATGCTTTCCCCTCCTCCTCCTCTTCCTCCTCCTCCTTCTCCTCCTCCCCCTTCCCTCCATCTCCTCTCCCTCCATCTTCTCCTCCATCTCCTCTCCCTCCATCTTCTCCTCCTCCTCTCCCCCATCTTCTCCTTCTTCTCCTCCCCCCTTCCCTCCATCTCCTCCTCCTCCTCTCCCTCCATCCTTCTTCTCCTCCTCTTCTCTCTCCATCTTCTCCTCCATCTCCTCCTCCTCTTCCTTTATCTCCATCTCCTCTTCCTCCTCTCCCTCCATCTTCCTCTTCCTCTCCCTCCATCTCCTCCTCCTCCTCTCCCTCCATCTTCTCCTTCTTTTCCTCCCCCCTTCCCTCCATCTCCTCCTCCTCCTCTCCCTCCATCCTTCTTCTCCTCCTCTTCTCCCTCCATCTTCTCCTCCATCTCCTCCTCCTCTCCCTCCATCTCCTCCTCCTCTCTCTCCATCTTCTCTTCTTCCTCCTCTCCCTCCATCTCCTCCTCCTCCTCTCTCTCCATCTTCTGCTTCTCCTCCTCCTCCTCCTCCTCCCATGCCTATCTGCTTTAAACCGCAATGATATAAAAATGAAAAAAAAAATACAAAATCAGCTCAATCTCCAGCTTTTCATACCTGCATAGCAATAGCACTTAGACTTATATACCGCTTCACAGTGCTTTTACAGCCCTCTCTAAGCGGTTATAGAGTTAACCTATTGCCCCCAACAATCTGGGTCCTCATTTTACCGACCTCGGAAGGATGGAAGGCTGACTCAGTCTTGAGCGGGTGAGAATTGAATAGCTGGCACTTGGAGGAATTAGCCTGCAATATCGCATTCTAACCACTGTGCCACCATGGCTCCTTATGCATTAGACCCTGGTGAGCTCCATTTTTGCTGGCAGAGGGTTGGAGGAGGCTGTTGCAGCCTAAAACGGAGCTCGTGAGCTCGTTTTTGCTGGCAGAGCGCTCAGGCCACCACCGGGATCCCTGACACAAGTGATGTTAAGCCGGCCATGCCCACCCTGATCACAGCCCTCTGCCGCCACCCCCCATGGTCCTCTGTGATGCAGCCCTCAATGAAATTGAGTTTGACACCCCTACTCTAACCACATCTGATCTTGCCTAGCTTTTGGAGATGAGCTAAGACCTCACTTTACAAGCTGCTACTTAACCGGGAAGCGATGTTCCTGCTCTTTAGAAACACTAGGGACAGTAACAGTGAAAAGCACCAGAAGTGGCTTCCTACTGGTTCGGTCTGGTTCGGCCAAACTGGTAGTGGTATGCCAGCCTGGGTCACAGAACTGGCAGTGACTCAGGCTGGCCACGCCCCTGAACTGATTCTCTGGTTGCCGCCATCACCATTTTTATTTTTAGTTCTGCGCAAAGGGCACGCACAAGTGAATTGGCACTAATGCCGGCTGAAACCCACCCCTGAAAAGCACCTCTAGAATTGTACCTGGGGACCATAATCTGAACCAGGGACACTGACTAAGA